ATAAGAGTTTTTTAGTATGATTTGATTCATATATTCTAGATTTATATATATATATATATATATATATGAAAGGTTATTCAGGTGAGTACAGTGAGAAACATATGAAAATAGAGAAAAATTATATTGTTTAACAATGGTAAAGTGGCTGAAGAGAAAATATTTAGGAATGCACAAACATGCCTTCAAGGTATTAAAATATAGATCATAAATAAAATATCTAAAGCAAATTTCTTATAGTGTAACTAGTGTATAAGTCCAAAAACATGCCTTCAAGGTATAAAAATATAATACCCAAGTTTAACGAATCATAATCAAATATTAAACAGAGTTAATATAGACTTAGTCATGGGCAGTATAGGAAAAGGCACCTTTATAAGTTATGGCTTGACCATTATTGTGTTGACAGCAGGCATTGCACACCCATATAGTTTGAGTATATCAATGATATTGGTTAGGATGATAAAATGTATGTATATGAAGTGGTTCATTGATAGGTATAAGCTAATAACATCAGGGACTACAGGGACTACATGGTGAATTGATTAAACATGTAGAACTAAATCAAATTTAATCAATCATTATAGATATAATCTTGTTTGGAATAGTCACATTATTATAAATTTATGTTGGCTGAACTGGAATTAGTGCAAACATGCTTCATATATTGGAAGAAGGCAACGGGGCATCTACTTGTTTGGAGGATCAACAAATTGGGTAGAAAATCTATTATATGTTGTTTTTCTTTTACTACAAGTTTGGCATGCTATTTTCCAATCTTGCAAGCATAAATGAGAAACAATGTAGGCATATAGGTAACAATAACGTAGCAGGTTGAAACTGGGGTATATCCATGTAGCAGAACTAAATGTAATTTTTATTAGTTTGAAGGTAGATGTTTTAACAAGAAAGCATTGTAATCTTGATAGTTTTGCTTTGTGAGCAAAATAGGATAGATAATTCTAAGCTTTTGATGTGGTAATAAGATTAGGATTCTAAATCGTGCCTACATGTATATAATATTAAGCTTTTGATGTGGTTAGAAGAGGAGAAAATGAAACCTAGACATTCTTTGTAAATATTTTAATACTTTGTATAAAGATTAGAGCACTTTATATGTATATATATATTCTGATAAAAAAAATTGAAGATTAAAGAATCAGCTCATTTGATTCAATTTTATTAACTTAAAATATTATATTTAAACATGTAAAAAGTTGGATAAAGACATTACAAATATAAAAATAATAAATAAATAGGTTAGAATTGAATGAGTAATAAATAAAAGAACTATCCCATCAATATAAAGTCCTATAGAACCAAGTGATCTAATGAGAGAACCTAATTAATTTTGTAGATGCTTAGATGAGGTGTACAAAAATGGTTGTTTGTCTCGTCTCTCTTGTTTGGTCCATTAGCATTGCCCTCTGCCCCCTTTTCATTCGCATGCACTTATGCAATGTAAAGATTTTGACGTGAAACAAAGTAGTAGTGGTACACTTCAAGGGAGATAACACAACTCGTCCATTTATTAATTAGAAAATCAAAACAAATACGAAATAAATAGATTGCCTTTCGGCTAAGTCAGTGACTATATCAGGATCAAGATAGAGCTAACACCCCAAATAATTACATAACTAGCAAAATTTAAGAAAAAGAAACTGACAATCTAGACAAACTAATAAAACAAGTGTTACTAAGCTGAAAACTTTGCTCAAATATATTCCTCATCTAGTGGAAGTAACAGCCTCAGTTGATATTCTCAGTATAGTGCTTTCTGCTGAAAAGCTGTGTACGTGTAATGCTAGGTCCATTAGGCTAATTACAAATTTCAGCAGCTGCAGGCGATTAAAATCATTTAAGTTCGGAAAGTAACTCTCAGATGGAATAGCCTGATGTTGTGTATATGATATCCCTTTCCTTGTTTTTGTTATTAAATTCGTGTAAGACAAGGGCAATCCACAAACCTGTCCTCCTACCAGAACTGCAAAGAGCCTCGTTTCCGAAGGTTCCCAAAGGATACCCTCCTCCCTTCGATTCAGCAAAAATAATTTGCTGCCATGCAAGAAGGTTCGAGGAAACCCTCCACACACAATTTTGCATTCATTATTATCGCTATCTGCAACACAGCAACCGTATTAGCATGTCATCTCCAATGGAACGTTCTTTGGTGAACAGGTGCTTTAAGACCTATGATATGTCTCATGCATGCAAGCTAGAAGTTGTTTTATAGATATTACCAACATGCTTTGAACAGATGTAAATATTACCTGAACTAAAATCAAGATGCACCTAAAGGATCAAAATTTCCTTAATAAACTTCACCGAAGATATTTGGGCATCCATTCCATCTTCCTAGAGCTCTCGCTTCCCAATACCCGCCAATATATCGAAACGTTCCGTTGTCACCTTCTCTGCGGAACCACCTAGGCTGCCATCCATTTTCTTGCATTTTCCTTGACTGCATGAAAAGCGTGATGATCACCAAAATATAGGTCAACGACATCAAAAGATTCACTGACCATCAGCTATAATAAAAGTCAACCTACCAAATAGCACAAACTTATACTAGACCGACTATCAATACACAAGCAGAGTTGTTCGCTTACTTATATTTTAAGAAGTTACACTTAATGCTTCTATAAAGTTAGTTAAGTTATTATTACTAAAAAAAATTGGTTTAAGTTAATAATTATAGTTACAATATTCATACTTACCTTTTTAAGAGTAAGTTAACTGGTTAACATACTTCTAAAAATAAATAATGCATATTAACAAAATTCACAAACTACACAACCTAATTATCAAACAATCCTCCAAATATAAAGATTACATAAACATTTATTTTTATTTATTAAAAAATTTATTGATATTACTACTATAATTTTCTTTTAAAAATCATAAGCATCACGAGGTGCCACACGCATTTAGCCAATGTCATTTCAATTACTATTCTGAAATAGTTTATGACGTGTAGTATGTCTAAATAATATTAAAAAGCGATGATTGAAATAATTTTAGAAAAGATTATTTATAATATTAAAAAGTAACAAAAAAAAATGAAAGATTAAAACCAAAAATGGTTAAATGTACAGAAAGCAAAACCAACATTTTACCCAAGTAATTAATATGTTTAGCTTACACAGTTCAGAAATTCAGAAACACCTGGTCAGACAAGGAGACCAAATAAAAGGTGAGGAAAGAGAAAAAGAAAATATATAATGCACGTTTCTCGAACAAAACGTTAAAGAGTTTAAACATACCATTCTTTGCCTCTTTTCCAACCTTTGTTTTTCGATATTAGCCTTCTCGTATTCCCCATCCTCTAGATGCCGCTGATCTGGTCTCAGCCTGGAATCCGTGGGTGGAAGCTTCTCCTTTAATCCGTGATCAAATACCCGGGATCAGAAAAGGCTATAACAAACCATTAGAGATGCATAAGAAGAAAAAGGAAAAGGTGCATCGAATAATGATTAAATACATCATTATACCTTTAGCCCGGGAGTAAGCTCATTCAGTGTGATTGCAAATGATGTCAGATTGTACCGAGTGAGATTAGAAGGTGGCTTAGTCCTTTTCCACAACAAGTTTGCGTCTGACAAAGTGCAATCTTTCGGTTTCACATTCGCTTCACCGTTAACATAATACATGCTGTCATCCCACTTGCCAAACAATGTGGCAACCTTTTTTCCCGTTACATCTTCAACAAAGCCATGCACCTAATTAGACATACAGCACATTATAATGAACAATTTGTTAGGTAAAAAGCACACAGAAGATAAGATTCCTTCAGATATTTTGGGCGGGGCAGAAAGACAAAAATAAAAAATACAGACTATACAAATTAAACCTATGAACAGGCTGGGTTAGTACGTAAACGGGAAACAATATATCAGACTTCAAAAGACAAAGCAGCTGCTACAGAATATAACTAGGACAAGCCTACCTGGTGAGGATTTCGATCAAGAATCGCCTGTTCTTTGAACTTAAGTCTGCACGAATATTGGCGATTACCACGGATGTCCATGTTTCCATGATGATCGCAATATATTTTCCCAAGGATAAGATTATAAATTGTTGTCGTGACCTAGGTGAAACAAAAATATTTATAACAACTATTTATAATTTAATGTAAATATATTATAATGTGAAGCTTAGAAAGCCAAGTCACTAGCACTAGCCAGTACAAATAATCAATGTAAACAGAGTCATTTCACGATTTACACCTTGCTCCACTGAAATATTTCACCGTCATCAAACTCCAGGGTCAGAACACCCACTGGGTCAAGCTGAATTGACCTTCCCCAAAATTTTGACCGAATGTTACTGTCGGCCCAAAACTTCCATCCTCTACCTTGACAGTGGCAGGCAACGACAGTTGGATGGTGACTCACCTGTTTCACACGTAATTAGTTGTTTGAGAAAACAGTAAATATTGGCGGGTAAATTGACTTACCTGCCTGCACACTCTATAGGGTGTTGAGCTTATGATAGGACCACTATCTTTTGGTCCAACAATAATTTAAGCAGGTTAACCCCACCAAAAGAATGAGATAATATTAGCATGACAAAACCATTGTTCGATTAGCAAGTTGCATGCCACCAGTTAAAACATCCTCTTCAGTTTCGTCCCATTTCTTAATATCAGTTTCCTAATCACTTTACATTCTGCTATTTTTAAATTTAGTAAATAAAAAATTTCTTACATGGAAGTATATTTGTTGGAATTTTCACTTTTATAAGGTAAAGGTTGAGTCACCGATATTGAAACCAAAACTAGAATGTATGCCATTTACGGCTGTATCACATTTTTAGCCCAAGTTAAATTCACAGCAACATATGTAGCAGCCTACATCTCGGCCAATTATCGGTATCATTAAATCACAAAGTAACTAACCTTCTCGGAAAAGAAACGAACTCCTTTGTCAGGATAATCCGCTTCATAAGTTTCCCCTAACAACGGATTAAAGGGTTTACAATGACGACCTTCGGATGATGCATATCCAGAAACAGCAAAGGCAGCAACATTCAGGGCCCGAAGGAGACCGTTTCCCTGAAAATAGAACTCTAAGGGTTGAACAGCTACATAGATTCAATAGCATTAAATAATGTCATCTCCCAAGTGAATAATTAAATGTTGCCAAATGATTATTAACACAAGTCTCCCGCTCAAAATTACTTGGATTCATCTGAGAATAGAGCAGTATATAAAAAGCAAATGCACCAGTTGCCACTGAGGCAATTGATATAAACTATTTATTTCAAGACAAAAACAAATTTGTACGAAATCGTTGAGGTAGTTTTATTTCAAAGTAACTCAGGAATTTAATTTGAGTCATGTAGATATTATCATTCCCCTTCCCTCTCTTTCCCTTTAACTGCGGGGAAATGAAATTGACCAAATAGTACAACTCCTGTAGCCAATTCAAACAAACAACAAATAAGACAAGTTTGACAATTATTTTCCCCCTGAAACGATAATGTTTACATATAGTTGCACTAGTCATTGGAAACTCACTAATTTAACAGCATGAAGCAAACCTTTCCAGAAAATTAGACAGAAATCTATCAATATTACCAATCAAATATTGAAGGACACTACATAGTATAGACATTCCATTCAGTACAAATATCGAGACAACAAATATCCTAGGGAAATTCATATATAAAATAGACCAATAAAACAATAAAAGGTCATATACCAAAACTGGTTTGAAATTTGTCATGTTTGCAGTGCAAGATCAAAGAATAGCATATTCAAGAGAAAGAAGTATAGCTTACCGCTTTCCCGTACTCATAAGCTCTATCGAGAAGAAAGGAGTACTCCAAGTCCTCAAAACATTTCTGAAGAGATGAAATTGGCTCATTAAAGTATACAGGAAGACAAACTCGTGTGAGATCTTTGCCCACGTTGTCTTTGATAATTGACCAAAGACTAACGCCCTTTTCCTTCTCAACAGGATCTGGAAGCTTCTTTCGCCTTGCTATCTGAGGGTACCCAAAACCATTGACCGTCTCCCCAACGTGATTGTTCTCCAAATCAATGGACTGTGTATTAGCTTCCCCAGACATGCTCATTGGATCCAAAGCTCCTGTGAACCCACACCTAAAACCAAGTTCTGTAAAGTACTCTTTAGTGTCATAATATGAGATTTCATCTTCATCTGACACTTCCTCCATCTCCTGTTTCTCAATATCGTCCGATGATTCAGTAGTACTGCATTCTGAAAATCAAAAAGTATGTGTGAAAAATATATATCAAAGGTTGTAGAAAGGTTCATTGCAATCATATTTACCGAAACATATATATACTTCTGCAATTATCAGAAGGCCTTTTATATGATCAGTAGAGACAACAATAAACAATAATATACTAGTTTTTCCTTCTCTCTGCTTTAATGGATACAAAATTTGAAATAAATATGTCCATCAAGTTCATTACAAATAGGTACAATATAAGGGGATAAACCAAGTATTGAGAGGTGAACCGCGATCTACCACAAAAACTAATCATATTTTTTCCATTACGTACACCAGGTGCATGAGTTAAAGGTATTAAACACACCCCCTTAAATGTTTTCAAATACTTAATAAAAAAAACAATAAACGGTTGGTTCAAAACTATTTTCACTATATTAATTTTAAAAAAAGATATATTAATTTAACCAAAATACTGTATACCCCAAAAATAATTATCTGAACATAAAATACACAAGAAATTATAGGCAATCAGTTGGACTTTTGAAGGATACTTCATGCCAATTTGAATCTACAAGATAGCTAAAATATTGAAGAATCAATTTTGTCGAGTTCAAAGGCAAACAGCATGAAGAAAATGCTACTAGTAAATTATTCACTTAAGAAAATTTCAAATTAGAAAATATAGATTCACGTTCTAATGACATATAACAAAATACTTTCCATAATTCGAAAATTAGTTTGTAAGCAATATTCTTCATGTCTATATCACAAACTCTAGGTCCCTACGATCACTATCGAGAAAACGAAGACTCTAAAATATGAATACTGGGACATGCTAACTACATGAAATTTCAAAGAGAAAAGATCGCACAGCATATGTATAGATTATAATTAGAAGCATAAACATAACGTAATACCGCTATATTTTCCATGTCCTAAACTTGAAAAGCCATTCTTCGTTAATTGGTATTCACTGTCGTGCAAGGCAGAGGCCTCAGGTTCAATATTAGCAGCCTGTCCATGATCAATAACAAAATACTAGTTCAGTAAGTCATATACAGAGGAACAAAACCTTGCACGTCTTGAAACTAAACATATGCTGACATACAGAAAAGATAGCGAGTACACTTCAAATATAAAGCTAGGAAGAAGAAAAACGTGAACGGGGTATGCAAATCACAATCAATTATGAGTCATGGTTCATCACACATATATAAGTTTGGGTGCAGGAGATGATCAACAAACAACGCCATCAAAGAAAGTTACTGGTGACAATACTATTAGAAAAACCAATAAATCAGCCAAAATTCATGACTAAATGAACCAAACACATCATGTGATATAACGTATGCAATTAGACCTAGTTCTCGTTTCTACCAAAAAACAACAATGCCTCATTTCTTGGATTTTTTCTTTTACAAAAGTTGTAAGGTGAAGTAATGACAGCAATACTAGCCTCCTAGTGCAACAGTAAAGTTATGTCTTGGTGGTCAATTGGTCACGAGTTCAACTCGGAAAACAGTCTCTTTTTATATGTAAGAATAAGGTTGTGTACAATAACTCTCCTTATACTTTCCCATGATGAGGAGTCTATGGCAGCGGGGTAGATTAGTTTATTGTAGTGTGAAATTGTCTCTCTTTGTATTCTTATTACAGGAGTCCTTCTCAGATGAAAATTGTAAGTCTTTACAAGGGAATATATAAATTTTAATTTCCAATTTTGATTTGTGTTATATATGCACACATTAATAGCTTATCCTATCATAAGAAGATAGAGCCATACATAACTAGAGTATATGCCCACCTGTTTTACAAACTCAGAATAAGTACAACAATAATGTAATGTAATAATGCACTATTACAGTCAATTCAATAACCAGAGGTCCAGGAAAAAGAAAAACAAATACACCAATAATTTTAGAGAGAATATATCTAGTGAAACTAATGAAAGGTATATATATGGGTATTAGGCAAGAACAAAAATAAGGAGAAGTGTTTTATACAACTTTTACCATTTGATCGATGCATGGCAAGAAATAAATAAATAAAAAAACTACTGAATTTAATTACAGCATTAGTCAAATTAGTATAAATTTGGGGAACCAAAATCGAAAGTTGAAATAACAAAGTTTAAAACAGTGAAAGCTCAAGTACAAGATAATATCACGTTACATTAAAGAAAAAGTACTTTGGAATGGCTATCACAAGTAAACTTTTACTGTGCAAGTAATTTATGTGAACGTTTTTGTCAAGCTGGCTCAGTAATACAGTGTTGATCCACCCAACCCAAGACCTCACCCACCACAGAACTTTAATATACAAACATATGTGTGTGTGTGTGTGCGTGTGTACTTCAGGAACAAATCATAATGAATCGTTTTATAGTAATATAACTCATAATTTAGAGGATTAGTATCGGCTATTCCACCAAATTTGAGATGTGTGAGGAGTAAACTTATGCGTAACAGTGGTTCAAGCTCTCAAATAAACTGTCTGGAGAATTCCAAAGGTAAAGCACACATGTGAGTAATGAAATTACCTCCAGCTGCCTTATTGTATCAAGCAAATTCCTTCGCTCTTGACATAGTATATGAAGTTGCTCTTGTAATTCAGAGAACTCGGCAAACATGATTTGCTCGCACTCTTTGACAAGGCTCTCACTGCCACCCTCTTCAAGTAAGCGTTTCTTAAGCCTTTCGGTTGATACAGATATATGATTCGGTGCGAGGGAGAGATGGTCGCTGAGTGGTCGAAGTGGATATAATTCTCGGGTTGAAACCAAAGCTTGAATCCACGCCACACGGTCCTTCCTTGAATCAGTTCTCAGATGGAGAGTTTTTGTTGCTGTGAATATATAGAACCGTCTATCGTCCGACTTGCTCTCTCTGAATGACGAGATCTGCTTAGGATTCATACAGGAAAACTTAAATTTCAAATCTCCGAAGAAGCACTTTTATTACCCAATTTTCTTTTATATTTTAAATTAAAGACAGAAAATACAACACGAAAAGTAAAATCTAATGACGTATAACAACTTGTGGTTTTTAAAATTTAGAAAAATTCATATACAATGTTTGCAGTACAGCGAAACATTGCACCAACAGCAGCTATCAACAACCAGAAGAACGAGGAAGATTGATTATTATTAGCCATGTCCCCATGAGAAACACAAGTGGGGAAGAGAGCCCACCTTGAGAAGACAAATTAAGTTTATACAGAAAGCTTGAAAACGAAATTATCTCACTGGGGCATCACGGCAAGATGCTACTATTACTAGACTAGAATAATTTGAGATAGGAGGTAATGATGTAAAAAAACAAAACTTACTGTCTCCAACTTCCTTTTGTTTTTCCCTTTTATCCGGGGAGAAGAAGAGTTGTTGACCTTAAACAGTAGCAGCACCCATTTTAAAAGATTAAAAAAAAGACATTATATAATGAACTGGACGATGCCCCACCACCATGGTGGCAAGTCCCACGTAAACATATTTCTGTTGACAAAGACAAAAGAGGAACCTTTCCATATGTTTTAACTTTTTTAATTTTCTAACTATATATAAAAGAGAAAAAACTAATAACTGAAATTGCTTTTTCGGTTTTTCTCCCCTTAAAGCAAGGTCGAAGCTTTACAGTTTACAAGGAAGGAGGCTCACACCTGGAAGACACTCAGAGTACGAGATCCCTAATTACACCTCTCTTTAGATCACCTCCCCACTGTTATTTTTTTTTCTCATCTAATAGAAAGAGTCTTCAACTTAAACCCCTTGTATTAAAAAAGAAAACAAAAAAAAAAATCCGTCCTTGTCATTTTACTATTGAAGGGCAAAACCAATGCAAGTTGCTGCTAGATTCCAGTTTCCAGATTGGTGTTATTTTGGTTAGACTTTTCGCATTGGTAGGCTAAAATGGGAAGAGATAAAAAAGGAGTTGGAGTTTGCAGAAAAATGGCATTGCAATGAAAAAGTGCGAAGTGAAGGGAGTGATGATAGAATAGTGCAAGCGAGGAAGAAGCAGTGAAATCTTAACACAGCTGAAGCAGATTGATTCCAACCAATGTGAATGAAGGGAAGGCAGAGAGATGCATGACGTGACCGCAAGTTAATGCCATAGGGCTAATAGTAGGCTATCCCTACCCTCCTCGGCCACCTGTTGATGTGACCCACTACACATTAACAACCAGTTAAAACTGTAAAACAGGAATTAAAAAGTTGCATTGCATCGCAACTTAGAATTTGGAAACTTAGAATTTGGAAAGGAGACCAGATGAGAGAGAAAGAAACTCTGAAAAAAAAAAAAGCTTAATAGAAACCAGCGGGTTTCCATGTTATTGCTCGGGCATCAAAGCTTCTTTCAGGTTTTCTTCCACCTTTTTACACTGCCACAAGAACAATCTAAATCTGAAGCGGCTTTGATAATTTTCATGGTCGGAAATCAATGAGGTGAAATCATCACATCGAAATAAAAAAACTAAGACAGAAAAGTTTATTCTACGATTTTTATTTTTTTTTTTGAAATAAAAAGAAAGAACATTGCCTCTACAGGAAAGTTGCAGGTAGCGCCAAAAACAGTGAACACGACACTGCCAAAGCGAGAGTGAGACCTGACCCACACTATATTGAGTGATTCAGATCAGCACCAAAGATAAACCTAAGTAAATTTCCATAATCATAATCGAAACAAATAATTAAAAAATTTGATAATGAAAATTTAACAATCATATACCTTGAGATGCACTACGGCAGAGGAGGAAGGAGGTTTGTGACTCTTCCGCCGAATGGTAGCAGCATCTCTGGCAAGTCGGTTGGCGGTGACTTCTCCGATGAGGCGCACCTCATCCACCGGAGAGAGGAGGTTGAGGTTTTCCGACCAACAGATCTTGGCATAAGAGAGGACGCCATTGCGAAGGAGGAACCAGCGGGATCTCCATCCCTTGCCGTAATTGGTCCACTTGTAGAGAACTCCGGCCACAGTGGCCTCGGATCCCCTCCGCGCAATGCCGTCAGATCCACCGGCCGGGAGACTCCTCGTCCTGGACAACGCGGCAGCGTCGGGCTCCGGAGAGTCGCTCCCGATCCCCGGACTTTCCAGCGAGATACAGCACAAGGGGTGCATTTCCTTCACACGCATTTTCAAACCTTCTCTCTTCCTGTCACTCTCTCTATCTCTCTTTGGCTTCTTATTTCACTTGTTCATTGGAACAGAAAGTGCATTTGAAAAGTACACTAGCTGGATAATAATTTAGGGTTCTTAAAAAGATGAAAGCGAGCAAGGTAAGCCAAGATAGGAAGAGCTCTGAAACTGAGAAAGAAGCAGGTCCATGAAGGAGGATTAATTAATAGAGGAGGGATGAAGAATGAGAAAAGATGTATTCATTAAATATAAGAAAATGAAGATAATGTTTATTTAATTCAATAATAATAAATAATTAATAAAAGGGGTTTGTTTCATAAAAAGAAAAAAGGTGAGTGAGTATGAGGTTAGGGTTGTTGCAATTGGAAATGAATGAATAGAAAGGAGAATGAGAGAGATATAGAGATATAGAGGCAGAGCAATGCAATAAAGGGGTGGGTAGAACAGTAATAAAAGAGAATTAAGTGGGTTTTTTTGTTAACTTTGAAAGAAACTGATTGCAGCATGAGACGAGTGAAGACCAGTGAAGGGAAGAACCAGATTTCAGTTTGAGTCTGCTTCTTCATCCTCACTCCATTGTTCTTTTCTTTGTTGTTATTCGTGAGATACTGAAGAAGGAAAAGTTATCGCGAGTGATTGAGATGAGACGTGAAAATATCGGTAAAATATCGTGGCGTGTTTGAAGGCTGAATGCAAATGAAGAAAGGGAAAGAGAGGGAGACAGGGTGGCAGTTGACGACGATGAATGGAAACTGGGGCGCGTTATAAATGCTATTTACTTCGTAATCATGAAGTTTTCATCTTTCAAAATTTTCCTTTCTCTTTTGTGAGTGTGTTTATGATTTTTACTTCAAAAATCTTATTTCAGTGTTGTTCCTATAACCAAGAACAATGTGTTATAATGTGTCCCATATCTCTTGCAGTGAGTGAGAGTATCTTGAATGTGCAACACCAATCCTCGTATGAGTGAAAATGTCATTATTTTTTTTTCAAAGTTTTTACAACAATAAGAAATAAAAAAACAGAACTAAACCAGTCGTAATTAATTTTCACCCCACTGTAAATATTCTAAGATTCGGTCAACAAGTGTGGAAAGTATATTGATTACAAAATAATTGCATGAACAGATTCTACTAAAAATGCTAACATTTTTATATACCAATTTAGTTTTAAATTTTAACACACTTATCCTCCATTCCATCCATTTTAATTTTAAAAAGATTAAGGAAATAAAATAATTCCTTAGAGTTGTTGAAAACTAGTAAATAAGCTAGTTAGAAAATATAAATAAGTTAAGTAAGTTAAAATATTTATAGAAACCAACTATTAAACTAGTTGGTAAGGGGCTTAAAAAAACTGACTGATAAGAGATAAATAAATTGAAACACACTTAATCATTTAACTATAATTCAAAATTTAGTAGTTATATATTACATAATTTTTTCAAATAATAATTGTTTTAAGTTTAGTTTATTTTTATTTTCTTTATTAAAAAACAAGATAATAATATTTTGATTTATTAATTTTAATATAAAAATATTTAATGAATGAGTTAATGTGCATAAATTTGTTTAAACTAATATTATATTATTATTCATTTTTGTTCGTGATAAAAAAAATATCAATTTATATTAATTATTAAAATAAATAAAAATATTATTAATTTTTTAAAATATATTTATAAATTTTAGTTCTAAAATAAATAATTTTTATAATTTTATCGTACATACTTTTTCTATTGAAGATGACTAATTGAGTTTAAAAATATTTAAAAATGAAATAAGAAAATGAGATATACAAATAAAAAGTAAAAGTAATGAAAATTATGTACACTAAAATAACAACTACAAAAAGATGATAAAAATTCTATTTATTAATAGTTACAAATGAATAAATTTATAATATAATTGTGATGATGAGATAAATAAATTATATTTATAGAAATAAAAGTACTAAAAGAGAGTATTAGGGGACTTTTAAACATGTGAAAGATAAATAAAAATTTTTAACAAAAGTAATTAATAAGAAAAAAAAAAGGTTAGGAGCTTATAACTTCAAAGCTACTTATAAGTAGTGTATTTGGAAAAGAAATTAAGTTAGTGAAACATGTCCTTCAACATTTTTATTTTAGTAAAAGAATCTTCTTTAAATTAATCAAACCAAGTTCAAGTTTCTTAAAAGGTTATCCAGCAACACACGGTGTTACAAATAACTTAGTGACAAAAAAAATTACAAATAACTTATGAACATACAATTAGGGTACTCAATTTTTAATCTATAGCATTATTTTCTAGAAAAAAAATGAATGATATGTGAAGAAAAAAAAACTTTATTGACATAGAATCACCACATTTTTTAATTTTCTTGTATATTATTTTATAACAATCTTTTTATCATCGTTTTGATGTGATTTGAATATATTTCATTCTTTCTATTATTGAAATAATTATTAACTTGTATTATTATAATAATAATTTTATTATTAATTTTAGTGTAAACGAAATCTAAAATAATAGTCAATTTCGATAAATTCATTCAACTAATTTCATTCAGTGAAAGAATTTGTGAATTTAAACATTTCTTACAATAGATTGTAATTCTATATAAATGAAGAATTTACAAACAAAGTTAGCATTTTTAATGTTGTACAGGAGATAATCTTTTAAAAAAAAAACAGTTAAACAAACTATTGCATGCATGCTTTAAGTAAATTGTGGGTATTTCTTTTTTTTACTTCACTAACAGACTTTACATCTATTTATAATTGTCTTATAAGAGACTTTTATGTTTTTTCTTTTAAATACATGCTAATATTTTTAGAATACCTTTGACTTTGTTTTAACAACTTTCACAATTACACTTAATCTATACTATGAAGAATATAATTTTCTCTTAAGATTTTTTTTATCAAATGTATTCAATATCAAACTTTAGTATGATAATTTTGTGTTGTGTATATTATTTTGTGAATAAAATTTATCCAATAACGAAATAAATTAAAATATAAAATCAAATTCCGAATTATTTATAAACCTAAATTTATGACAATCTAATTATTTTATTAGTTTGAATAAAAGACTTAAATAACATTTTGAATAAAAAAAATAAATCTAAGGATAAATGGAGCATAACCAAAACCAAAGTTTATTCTCCTACCATTGAATTTGAACTTAAATTAAGATTCATATCACTTAAAAGAAAAACTTCCACTTCATGAAAAAAATCAATAAAATAATATTTTTTTTTATAAAAAAATGATAAAAAAAAAAACAAAATTGTTATGAAACAAGAATCAAACACATGGTTATGTACAGAAGAGAGATTTTAGTAGGTAAGAAAAAGAAGGAAGGAATTATTGAATAAAATGGGTGTATGAATTCCATTGGAATATGGTAATAACCTGTGAGGTGTCTCTGACAATGACTGCAATTGATGACATAAGGTCTCATAGAATTAACCAATACTAATAAGAACACACAAAGTTACTATATAATAACAATGTACAAGAGAGTGACATAAGATTAGGAATTTAGAATTTACATTTATCTATTTCATCTTTCATCTTTGTCTGTCATGGCTATTCTTTTCTCTTGTGTCCACCTTCACATGTGACTCTTCTTCCATTCCCCTGCTTTCCTTTTTCTTCCTTTCCTCTGTTCGAGGTGTTCTTCACATCTTTCATTGCAAAAAGCAAACACACAAGATGTAAGCTTAGCCATCTAAACTCACCACATGCCACCAATCTCATTTTCTTTTCCTTCCATTCTTTCTAAATTTTCATTCCTGCTCTCTTTCTATAAACAAAATAAATAAAGTGATATTAAAAATAAAACAAAAAGGGAAATGTGATAGATTTCATGTGTATGGGAGAAATTAAGAATAAATAAATAGAACATGGTCAATAGTTTCTTATGAAAGTTAATTACACTTTTTGTTCCATCCTTTGAGTATCTGACAATCAACTGTAAGAAATAACTATTTTGAATGACAGACTTTAATAGCATCGAAATTTTCACTTTCTGTTCAGTGTGGAAATTAAAATATACAGAATCTCTACTTTCTCTTTTCTCTTTCCCTTTATTTATGTGCACAACCAAATGAAGATATTTTCAATCTCCTTTTTCATCTCTTCAATGTCATGAACTAGGAATCATTTGGCCAAGAAGGACGGTGCTGATGTAATAATAAATATATATTATAATTTAACAAAAAATGTTTTCTTGAATTTTTTTTAAGTTACAATTCGTTTTAACTTAACTGGTATTTATTACTGTATAATATATTAAATATTTGAATAATTTATCATTTATCATCATTTTATTAAAATCTAGAACTTATGGTTATTTTCGAAAGCACCAAATTATTTACTAAATCTCAAAAGCCAGTTATTATAACCTATAACTATATTATGAATTTTTTTTCTTCATTGGTTTACCCTTATCAATATATTGGATTATAAAAAAATTATTTGTGGTATAAAAAGTAATTCTCGTAATAGTTTCAAATACACTTATTCTATAATTATAATACTATATATAAAAGTTAATAAATATAAACATGTTTTTTATAATTTTAATATAAATTTAATAACACTTTTCATTTTAATAATTATTTTCATAACTAATTTATTAACGACATCTTTTTCACTTCATAATATAAAATAAAATGGTATCCTATTACTGAAGTAAAGTGTACACTTACACAGCTGTGTGGGTGTATTTAGAAGATTAGAAAATACAAAATTAAATATATTTATATAATTATTATGAAAATTATTGTAATTTTTTAAATATACAGTACATATTAATTAAGGAATCATAAAATTACTTACATCAAGAGGTTACATTTACTTTGATGTGTTCCTTTAAGAATTTTGCAACAATGTTTAAAAAATACAAATATTTATAACATGCACATATATGCTCGTCTTCATTTCTTGTTAATTATCGGGATCAGTCTCAATTATTTATATTCTGTCACTAAAATAACTATGCTAATAATTTATACTTAGACTTGGTATAGTTAACTATTAGGGTGACCTAAAATTCTTCTTATGCCTTATGTATATGTAATGTATATGTAAGATCGCCCAAAATTTTATTAAGTGGCAAAACATATGACTTTGGTATATCTTGCCATATGCACATGTGCAGGGTTGCAAATAGTAGGAAGATACACATGTTTTTAGAGTTAATTATAGATGCTTTTTTAAGTATAGTAGTCAATAAAGAAAAATGAAAGTGTGAAATAGGTACAAAAACATACTAATTGAATAGATTTTGAAGGGAA